GGGTTGTCTGGGGAAGTGGGTCACCGCGAAAAGGAGCTTGAGGGGTCAGATTTCTGATCCCAGTGCCGGCGCGGCATTTGTCAGCCTACTCTGGCCCCAAAGAGCTGCACCCCCGAAGGCGGTTAGTGGCGGCAGGGGTGGAGACGGGCCAGCCTTCCGCGGTCTCGGGCGGCGGGGAGCGCATCTCACGCTGGGTGGGAGCCGCGGCCTCCGGCACTCGGTGGTCCCTTCCAGCCCCACGCCGACAGGGGAAAGGGACATCCGGAGGTTCGAGCCCCGCCCCTTCCCGGGGACTCCATGGCCCAACTGGGCGCCGCCGGTCCCAGATGCTCCGATCTGAAATTTACTTCGTTGGAAACACGATAAAGTTACTTTGGGGGAATATTGCTATTTTGGAGAATGTTTTATAGCCTGTGGCACACAGTGCCTGCCTTATTTAGTCTCCAGGTAATTGCTGTGTTATGGAGATTTATTGATTGGCGATTGTCAAACGATGTTCATCTAATAGCCGTCGCTAACTGCGCAGCCACGCGTGACTAGATAGCTGCCTAAAGGTTAAATAACAAAAAACTCTGTTCTTGAGTCGTACTAGCCACATTTCAAATGCTTAAAGTCGCTAGTGGCTGCTTTATTTGGACGGCACAAATATAGAATGCGCCCTTCATCGCGGTGAGTTCGGTACTTGTCCCCAAAACGGGACCGAGGTAAATAAACAATGTTACTTTAGGCAACTTTATCCGCTTCCGATTTTACCACAGAGTCTCTTAACAAGAACTGCATCCCTGTGAACTGTATTTTGGTGTTCTCTTTTGCAGACTCATTTACCAAACGTTGGAGTAATATTGTAGATAAAAATGCCTATTGGATGCAAAGAGAGGCCAACTTTTTTTGAAATTTTTAGGACGCGATGCAACAAAGCAGGTATTGATAGATGTTATATAAATTGAGCAATTACATTGAGAAAAATGTTTTCAGAAAAATGTGTAATTGTGCATGTTTGCTGAAAAGAATACAGTACTTCTTGTTTTTGTTTACACCATAAACTGTGCTCTGTAGAATCAAATTAGTTAAGAAAATAATCCTTTTCAGTTAACCAAATAGTAAGTACATAGTGGATAAAGAGCTGGCTGGCCCATAGTGGATAAAGAGCTGGCTGGCCCCTTGATTAGCAGAAGAGTTGTTTTTAAAAGCAGAGAATTTCTAGAAAGTCAGAAGCACTGGTGATGTGATAGCGGAAGTTGTCACTTTTTGGTCTCAGTACTCCTTACACTCTTAAAATGATAGGGGACCTCAAAGAGCTTTTGTTTATGTAGGATACCATATTAGAAATTAAAACTAAGAACTTAAAAAAATTTATTCTTTTACTTAATAACAGAACATTGCATAGTAACATGAATAACATTTTTATGAAAAATAACTTCAAAAAGAAGTGAGAGGAGTGGTATTATTTTAAAATTTTACAGTTCTCTATAGTATTACTTAGTAGAAGATAGTTGGATTCTCATACCCATTTCTGCATTTAATCTGTTAAAGGTATTTTGGTAAAAAGTATATATGAAGAAAACCCAACCTCACACAGCAGTGTAGTTAGAAAAAGGAGTATTTCTTTAGCCTTCAGTTAATTGTGGGTATTTTTCTTTGATACGTAAGACAAGTGGTAGTTTCTTAAAAGTTGCAGTGTGGAATCTGAAACCATGTAGTGAATTTTTCATGCTCTTGTTACATTAAATTCAATTAGTTTTTCTTGCACCTTGAATAAATCTTTCATCCATGCATAGATTATTTGAAAAAAATTGATGTTCTGAATTACCCAAGATATTCCATATATTGACACATTGCATTAGACATGATTTAAAAATTACATTGGTTAATTCACTGATCTCATCAGAAAAGTCTTTTAAGATTGGGAAAATGTCAAGCTCACAGGGGCTGATAAAGTTTTACAAGATTCTGATTCTCATTTGAAAGCTCCCATTTTATCATCGGCAAAAACTGTTCTTTTCCTTGCAGTAACAGGCCCACTTATGTCATTTTTGAGAAAATGTCTGCTAAATCATCCAGCTCAGAATAACTTTGTTGTTCTTTCTAGTAAAAATGGCTTTCCATGAAAAAACTACTAATTCAGTCAACAACTTGTGATGAGTGCTTTTCTAGATGAGTACTTAAATATGCAGAAATGCTTCATGCATGCTTTGTATTTTGTTACAGAGAATATTAAAAAGATGTACTCGAGGGTTAGGCTTTAATAAAACTAACTTCTGCTGCTTCGTTAAGGACACTTTAAGTTAAACTTGCTTTTTGTTTTTGATTTTTTTTGTTGTTTTTTTTTTTAACAAGTAATGATAACAAAGGATACAATGACTAGTACAGTTTTTTGCTACTGCCTTGACTCATGCAAAGCTATCTTTAGTTTTACCCACCAGTGGTGCAAATATCAACATTGTGAAAAAGACAAATGATGCCTAATATTATGAAAATAGTTTTGACTATTTCTCTTGAAAGGATCTTGGGGACCTTCCTCTCAAATGATCCACAGACCACACTTTGAGAACCACTACTTTAAGGGTGGATAGATTATAGGAGAAATTTTGTCATTAACAGAGAATCTATTTATTCCATTTTATTTGTGAGTCTACATGTTTCTTGTACTGTAGATTTGTCACATCCACTTTTGTAGTGTTGATAATTATTTGAATTGGATCTGTGGAATGTATTCTTATTATGGATGAGTTTTGCTTCTGACTTGTGAATATAAAAGCAAATTTTAGAAGAGCTAATATTGCTAATAATCCCCTTGCAATTTTTGTAAACTCTTGTTACACCTTACTACAGATTCAAAAGAGAACAGATTAATGGTCTTGTTTAATTGGTATGCCTTAAAAGTAATCCACAGTCAAAATCTGAAGCATCCTTTTCTTTATCATAATCTTTCCTGGCTCATGGATTTTATTGTGTCACTGATTAAAACTGAGATGAGATCTTTATTTTTCTTACAGACTTAGGACCAATAAGCCTTAATTGGTTTGAAGAACTTTCTTCAGAAGCTCCACCCTATAATTCTGAACCTTCAGAAGAATCAGAATATAAAATCAGCAGTTACGAACCAAACCTATTTAAAACACCACAGAGGAAACCTTATCATCATTTGGCTTCAACTCCAGTAATATTCAAAGAGCAAGGTCCAACTCTGCCACTGTACCAATCTCCTTTAAAAGAGCAAGGTAAATTCAGATTAGATTTAGGTAAGTAATGTGATGTGGTTGACTAGACGAAAACATGAACTAGTCATTCAGACAAAACTGTGTTAAAAACCCCAGCTCTGTTGTTAACTGTTTTAATTTGGTCAAGTCAACCTCTCTGGCCATACTTTCCCCACTTGAAAAGTGGAAATGATGAAAATAATACCTAGGTTTGGATTAAATCAAACTATGTAGGTACTTAATAAATGTTTTCCTTCTTCCTTTGATTAATATATCCTGTCTACTGAGATTTGCTAAATTATATCTTTCCTATACAAAACACACACACACACGACTTGTTTTGATGTTAAACTAAACTGTATTTCTGCAGGCTATCACAGAGGACAGAGATTAGTTTTAACAGTTGCTGTAAATTTGTCTTTTGATTTGCTATCACTTTCCCTGGCCTATGTGCCAGATGCTTGCAGTTTACTACACACTAAGATTATATATTCATTCAAATATTTATTACCTGCTTGATTTAAGTAACATACTCTCCCTTTCTTTGGAGTATTACTCTCTAGTAAGGAGAAATTAGCAGTACACAGATAAAGGATAGTCTAAGGTTGAATGTGGTACATGCCAAAAGAAAAGGACAAAAACTGTATTGAGAATTAAGAGTAAAGAAAGCATAAATAGTATTGAGGGAATTAGAGAATGATTCAGTTGAATTAAACCTCAAAGAAGAGATGAGATTCAGAAATTTGAAGATGGAGTAGAGTGAGTATTCTAGGCAGAGGGAAAAACATGAGGAATATGTAGTTTGTTAAGAGAACAGCAAGTAATTCAGACTGTTTGGTGTGTTACATGTCTGAAAGGGACCCATAAACAACCTAAGGCTGAAAAGAGAAGATGTAGAGGCAGGCATTGAATGCCAGGCTAAAGAAATTGAATTTATTTGATAGGTGTTGAGCAGAGAAATCACATGCAAATTTAATCATGCTACTTCCTGCTTCAAACCTTTGATTACCTCCCTTTGCCCTCATGATAAAATCCAGATCCTTAATATGCTCTACAAGGTCCTTTATAATCTGTTCTCTCATAACTCTTGCCTCATTTTGCCATATTCCTCTTCCCATCCACCCTCAATTTACTCTTCATTCATACGGAATTTCTTTTTGAAACCACCATGCTCTGTGGCTCTTACACACTGTTATGTTACCCCTGCCCAGAACTAACTTACTCCCTCCTACTCCCTCGTCTAGCTGAATGGCACTCATCTTTCAGATCTTGACTTACCTCTCTGCTTCTGGGAAGTATTCCCTGTTGCACTCACTTAGCTTCTAGTGAAGGAGACTTACATAAGCATTTGTAGAGTGATAAGTGCTATGAAAGAGGAAACTCGTATTAGAAAATGCACATCCAAAGGAGATGTAGGTAATGGGCAAAGATTTTCTTGTATGTTATTGGATACTTAATGTATACATAGTGTGTATTCAGTAAGTATTTGTAGAATAAATGAATATTTATTTTGCATAGAAATCCTAATAATCTGGCAGCAGTCTTTGGAGATATGTTTTTCAAAATGTGATGCCTGGACCATTAGAATCTTCTGAAGTGCTGACTGAAAAGGAAGATTCCAGGCACTACTGAGCAGCTGTTAAATTAGAATCTCTGGGCATGGAGGTCATGACTGTACATTTTAAACTAATTGGGTGATTCTTATAGATCGAGAAGCCTGGGGGCAGAGAGATGAATCAGGAGACATAGAGTGGTCCAGGTGATAGGGGGCAAGTGCCTGAATTAGAGTTAATGGTAGTGAAAGTAGATGTGGAAGATAGGAACTACAGGACCCTGTATTAGCCTAGATGTGGAGGAGTCAAAAGAAAGGATCAAATCACAGGTTTGGGGCATGACTAAGAATGCAGTGGTGACATTCATAGAAATTGTAAGCACTGGGGGGAAAGGAGGTTTGGGAGGGAAAAGGTTTGAAAGGATTGAAAAAAGAAGTAAGTTGAGGTTTGGGCTGCAGTTTGAGACAGTAGTGGGATGTGAAGGTGGAGATGTCCTGAGGGCTTTTGAGAATACAAGACTAAAACTATAGAAAGAATACAGGTAGGAGAGAAAACTGTAGGAATCAACTGTCTGCTTGGAAGGTGAGAAAGTCATCATATAGGGTGAGAAAATTGATTATGATGAGGCCTCAGATGAAGGCGTAGAGAATATTTAGCAGATGAAATGTGGAAGAGAACACAGAAAAGGGAATCACTGATTCAACAAATGACCCATGCTTACTTTGTGCCTGGCAGCTTGCTTGGCATTAAGGATACAAACATGAATAAGATGGCCTTTGAGCTCTAGGAACTCAGTCTTACATGGGAGAAAATATGTAAATATACTGGTTGGTATATGTTATAATAGCATGTACAAAGTACCTCATTGTGGACACAACATTGTAAAATGACTATAACTCAATAAAAAAATGTTTATATAAAAAAACAACAACAACAAAGTACTACATTGTGGGCACCGTAAAGGGAACAGCCATCTACCTTAGTGGTCAGGAAGAGCTCCATAAACCAGCTTATACTGAATCTACAGAATCTTGAAAGACATACCTAGAGTCAGTGGTTCATTCTCTAATATTAACCTGCTGGGAATTGTCGATGTATAACCAGGAAAGGACAGGAACGAATTAATAAGGCACTCTGGACTCACTGCTGAGGAGTTAACTTTTTTAAGATTATAGTGCATAAATAATTCTGTTCACTGTAGTCTCCTGAGACCTTTTGCTTCTAAGTTTACTTTAAATTCAGTATTGAAATGGAAGAATAAGACTGGAGCTGTTTTCTAACCTTCTTAGTTCAATTCTAACATCTAATACGTTAATTTTTTTAAGTTATCCTTAAAATCACATGAGGAAATGTGCTATTTCTTCTTCTTAGCAGTCCTTCCTTTTGCATAAAATCATATGAGTTTATCTTCAGCATCATTCAGCTTTATGAGATTCTTAAATTATTCGGGAAATACTTATTTGGGGATGAACTTGGTTTTGCCTGGTTCATTTTTTTACTTTTTATTTTTTACAATTTCTATTCTCTTGCATTCTTTTTATTGATGAACCAATATTAATGCTTTATTATTAACTAAAGTCCTGTGTTTACATTAGGGTTCACTCTTTGTACAGTTTATGGATTTTGGCAAATGTGTAATGTCGTGTGTCTACCAACTGCAGTATCATGCAGAATAGATTCACTGCATCACTCAAGATACCTTACTCATATTATATGCTGCATATGGCTGTTTGAATTGGGACAGACATCCTTTGAGACATCCCTTTTTTGAAAGGAGTCAGCAAACTGAAAAACCAATTCAGACTGAATTCCCCATGCATCCTCCTTCCCAGTATAGATGAGACTTTTTGTTTTTAAATACTTCCAGAGAATGAAAATTTACAATCCAGAACATATATATCCTCACTGAATTATTGTACTGTTTCAGGAAAGGATGTTACCAATAGTAAACATAAAAGTTTTTGCACAATGAAGGCCAAAGTGGATCAAGCAAATGATGTTACCAGCCCACCTCCAAATTCTTGTCTTAGTGAAAGGTATGATAAAGTTATTACATTAAAATACTTATATGAAACATTTTCCTAAATGTGATATTTGTTTTATTGGAATGAGTCTAATTTCCATGGTAACATCTTGCCTCAGAGCCTGGTAGAGGATAATTTCCTTTTAGGATGCATTTTTTAATACAATAATTTTTACATTAGAAACGTTTACTTTGTTTTTCTTATATTGTTGAATTCACTGGTTTTTCTGTATATCTATGGAATTTTTAAGTAACAAAAATTTTAATGATCAAAAGCAGTGCCTTTGAAATATCCATTTTAAACTAAATTATTTGTGTATTCTTTGGAAAGAATATGATACTATTATAGATTCATTTTACATAATTTTTAAATTTGAAATATACAATTCCCAGCAGCTAAAATTTGTGAGTACTTTATATATTACTTTCAATGAGGATTTTAAACATAATTTAGTGGTTACTCAATTCTTCATACTTTTTAAAATAATCTAAAAATATTACAAAACTAGTATAATTCTAGTAATTGATATGATTGAGAGTCCTTTTTATAAATAAGATTAGTATTTTGTTTCTTTTTGCTATTTTTGTTCTCTTTTGAATAATCTGAGGGATGTGTTTTATTTTGTTTCAGTCCTGTTCTACAATATACACATGAAACACCGCAAAGAGAAAAGTCGGGTATGGTTAAAAACAAGGCTTTTTATTTTTCAAATACTCTAAATTTTAATAAAAACAAAACTTAGTAATTTTTCCCCTTGTTTTATCCCCAGTGATATGTGGAACTTTATTTCATACACCAAAGCTCACGAAGGTAAATATTTTGCCTAGTTTATTTTCATTGCGTAGTCATTAATTTGACAATAGTGTCCTAACTTTGCCCTGAGATTTACAGATATGTATCTGCTGACTCACCTAGGCATTCAGTAACTGATAAATGAAAAAATAAGTGAATAGAAACATATTCTTAATCATCAGTGCACTTGAAATAGGAAATAAGTAATATAAAATATAAAATAAATAAACTATTTTCTTTATTTTCAGGGTCAGACACCAAAACGTATTTCTGAAAGTTTAGGAGCTGAGGTGGATCCTGATATGTCTTGGTCAAGTTCTTTGGCCACACCACCAACACTTAGTTCTACTGTGCTCATAGGTAATACTAGCAAATGTGTATTACATATGATGATGTTGATAAGTTATCATACGTACTGCTTCTGTTAAAAAAAAAGGAAGAGATAATTAGAGTGTAATCAAATTAGATAATACTGTCTTTGATAGGTGTGTTAGTAATTCAGAATAATTTCATTCTATGTAGTGTAGACTGAGGTAAGTCTCAAGTGCATTAAATGGTATTTTAGAGGAGTCAAATTTATATACAAACCAGGATGTTTTTTTTACTCTAGCAAAAATACATTCCATTTTGATTCCTCTTTAGCTGGATGGTTAACTTTCTTCTTTTCTTGTCAGATGAAATAATATAGGTAAAACATGTTGCAAAGTAAGAAATGTTTAACATATGACATGTCTTTCAACTGTATTATTATATATATGTAATACTAAGTCTGCAAGCTTTTGCTTTTAAGTCATGACCTGACAGGTTCATCTGATTTTCTAAGCCCTTATGGACAGAAATACCTGTACGTATTACCTTGTGGACAGTATTACCTTCAAGTCAGGATCACCAAACCATAGTTTCTTACCACCTTATGAGTGGTACTAAGGAAGTGTGAGTATAGCTTACCCACTGTGTTGATTGACCTCTCTATTTACTGTACTTGGATCAATTCATTTTGGTTCAAATGTGTACATTAATAAAATGCACAAAAAATACGTAAGTTTTGCATTAACCTCAGTGTATGATGTATAATACAGAATAGGTAAATTGAACTTTTTTTTTGCAGTCAGAGATGAGGAAGCATCTGCAGCTACATTTCCTAGTGATACTACTGCTGTAAGTAAACATGACAAATGATTATGCTATGGCAGTTGCATATGATTTTAGAATGCCTTGAAAAATTATCTTGCATTTTTCATTGTCTATGATTTATCTAAGCCTTTGGGGATGTCTCTAAACGTGATTTCTTTGACCCAAGAAACTCTGCTGTCTGTTTAAGGTAAATATACTGTATGCATTGTTAGAGTTTTTATACTTGTGATTTTAAAATATAACTTTTGCAGATTTTGAAAGGCTGTTTTTCTAACCATGATCAAAGTCTGAAGAAAAATGATAGGTTTATCCCTTCTGGGCCAGACAATGAAAATCAAAGAAAAGCTAAAAGTCATGGTAAGTCCTTTGTTTAATTGACCTGCTATTTTTAACTGACATCATTAAAGTATTGCTCCTCTTTTCTTAAAGAGAAGACACATTGCTTCTCCCTTCTTGATTATTGAAGGTATTGAGAATAAAAACTAAGTTTATTTAGATGAAAATGTTTAAACATCATGCTAGGATAATACTACTCAAGATGCTCTTGTGACACAAAAACAAAACAAAACCCGTTACTGCAAACGCAGAGATAGATAATAAGACTTATAACTGACAAAACGTTAAGACCTCATTTTCTAATTAGAAAGTAAGTGGTTGCAGATATACCAAAAGGTAACTAATCAGGTCATTGGAATATTACACATTCTTAGTATGTATCTATATCTGTATAAATGTGTAGGATTGGATGTCTGTGTATGTATATGTATAAAGTCAGATTTTACTCTGTGATAGGGCCACAAAATTAATTTGGAACATGTAGTTTGATAAATCTTTGAATATTAAATTGTGTATGTATATATGTGTATATAGATAGATAGATAGATAGATAGATAGTAAAACTGAGTGAGGTCTGATTGAATGAGCTGATAAAGAAAGGTTATTAGGGATTGAGTGTGGATCAAAGGTTTGGGTACACTGGAATCAATTTTGACCAGAAGAGTGGGACAAGGTTGTTACCCCCTTACCCAAAAAATAGCTAGCACTCAGGATAACTTTTAAATGCTAGATTATGTGTTACTTAGAATATATACTATTTCTATGAAAAAAATTATGAGAATAATATGAATTATATGGTTGTGTTATAAAATGTTATTAACAGTGCTTCTATTTTAAATTTTAATAGAATTGGAGAAGATTTTAGAGGAGTCATTTGGTAACGGAAATAGCTGCAAAGATCATTTTGAAAAGTCAATGCCAAATGTCCTAGAAGATGAAGTACATGAAACAGCTGCAGATATTTCTGAGGAAGATAGTTTTCCAGTATGTGTTTCTAAATATAAAAGAAGAAATATACGAAAAGTAAAAACTGGCAAGACTAGAAAAATATTTTCAATAAAACAAAAACCAATGAATATGAAGAAGCTGAAAAACAAATGACAGAAAATAAACATTCATTTGTATCTGAAATGGGACCAAATGACAGTGATCCATTAGATTCAAATGTAACAAATCAGAAGCTCTTTGGGAATGGAGCTGACAAAATCTCCCAGGAAGTTATACCATCTTCAGCATCTGAATGGTCTCAGCTAACTCTCTCTGGTCTAAATGGAACCCAAATGGAGAAAACGTCCCTACTGCATATTTCTTCTTGTGACCAAAATAATTCAGAAGAAGACTGCATAGGCACAGAGAAAGAATTTATCAACTTCATTACTTCAGAAAATTATTTGCCACATATTTCAAGCTTATCAAAAACAGTGAAGATATTAAATGAGGAAATAGTGGTAAATAAGACAGATGAAGGGCAGTGTCTTGAATCTCATGAAGATTCCACTGTTGTGGAAAAGCAAGCAATATCTGGCTCTTCTTTAATAGCTTCTCCACTTCAGGGTATTAAAAAGTCTATATTCAGGATAAGAGAATCACCGGAAGAGACGTTCAGAGCAGATTTCTCAAGTAATACGACTGATCCGAACTTTAAAGAAGAACCTGAGGCCTCTAAAAGTGGGTTGGAAATACAAACTATTTGCTCACATAAAGAGGATTCTTTATGTACAAGTTCAGTTGATAATGGAAGCTGGCCAGCCACTACCAAGAATACTTCTGTAGCTTTAAAAAATGCAGGTTTAATATCCACTTTGAAAAAGAAAACAAAAAGGTTTATTTATGCTATAAATGATAAAACATCTTATCAAGGACTAAAAATGCAAAGAGACCAGGAATCAGAACTAACTCACTCTTCAGCCCAATTAGAAGCAGACCATTTTGAAACACCACTTACATTTACAAACATTGATTCAGGTAACTCTTTGTGTGTTTTGTGTGTGTGTTTTGAATAGTGCATATAGTTTTATGGATGGCGATAAGCTCTCTCATCTGGATATGTGAGTCTCTTTAACCTTTTTAAAAAAACGTACTGCCTACTTTTATTCTGTAGTTTTTTTGGTTTGTCTTCTGTAGTGTTTTAGGGGTTTTTTAATCTATAATTTATATTCCTCTTTTTTTTAAATTGCAGTATAGTTGATTTACAATGTGTTAATTTCTGGTGTACAGTGTCGTGATTCAGTTGTACATATATATTCTTTCTCATCTTTTTTGTTATAGGCTATTACAAGGTACTAAATATAGTTCATATATTTTATATTCAATATCAGACAATATCTACACCATTGTTGTTTAGGCCTTTGATTACCAATGTTCAGAATCATTTCATTCAAACTTGTTGGATCAATTTGCGTAGTATGTATATCATCATAACTTTTGAGACAGAACATGTGATTCATAAACATCACGAGCTTGGCTACTTAATTCCTGCTTTAATTTTCAGTATTTATTATGTGTAAATTAACAATTCTGTAAAGATGTTGTGCTATTTAATATGTACTTTGTCTAAAGCATGTAAAAAAAGCTAATTGCTAGCTATGTTTAATGTAACGCAGTCATAAAAATAAAGTAGTGATTTTTTTTGTTGTTACATAGTTTTCTTAAATATTTAGAGATTGCTTAGAGTTCCTGCTGTATCTCTGGTTGTTCAGAGTGTGCACAGTGAAAGTCATTTTTCATTTGGGTAGCAGTTTTTATCAGTAGGTATACTGTATGTTAAAAAGGTGATTTTATCTCCCTCTGAGAAGATTTGAGTGGGTGGTAGTATCTCAGTGAATAATAGGTTTGGTGTAATGAATACAGAACTGTTTGAGATTACTGTCAATTTCAGAGAAAAATGCTTGATGTTGTATATATCAGAGATAAAACCAGTGAATCAGCTAATATGTTGTAGTGGTCACTGATTAAATAAAATGAGATTAATAATTCTGACTTGTTAATAGGAAATTCAGAAGGTCAATAAAATTAAACAGAGCAGTTTACCTCACTTCCCTGCTATAACTGAGATTAGGTACTCACAGACACTTCATGTGTAGAACCTGTTTTTAAAAGTTCATTTTTTGGTGGTTTTTGATATGAAAGACTGAATTAACCAAAGGAAATGGTTACTTTGTAATTCCTTTTCTTTGCCTTGCTTTTTCTAAGTCCTATTATGTCTAAATTAGCAAAGAATTTTTTCCAATTTTATTTTCCAATAAAGCTACTTTGAATTTTACTTATGGCAGCTGGCTGCTTTCTTGAACTACATACTAATTTTAACTGAGTTGATAATTTTACCAGAAAAATCCTAGATCCTGTACATCTTTAGTTGAGAAATGTAGTAACTTCAAAACAGAGGATACTTAGAATTCTTTCTTTTAAACCTGACATGCACTTCTTTTCATGTAATTCTTGTTTTAGACACTACCTTTTTAACTCAGTGGAAAATATTTAGTGAATGTGATTGATGGTACTTCAGTTTCATTTTGTCATTTTTTGTCTTTGTGTTTAGGTTTACTGCACTCTTCCATCCAAAAACACTGTTTACAGAATGATTCTGAAGATCCACCTTTGTCTTTAACCAGCTCTTTTGGGACAATTCTGAGAAAATGTTCTAATAATAAAATAGTATCTCAGGATCTTGATTATAAAGAAGCAAAACTCAGTAAGGAAAAACTGGAGTCATTTATAACCACAGAAACTGATTATATGTCATGCTTGCAGGGAGAACATTGTGACGATGATCCAAAAAGCCAGAGAGTTTCAGATATGAAGAAAAAAGTCTTGCCTGCAGTATGTCACCCTGCAGTGCCACATTCAGAAGACTGTAGTGATACTCACTTTCAATCTCAGGAAACCTTTTTACATGACAATGATAACACCACTGTTTTAACTACTGTCTTCAACGACCTTCTGTCAAACCCAGTTGTGATTTCTAGAGGAAAAGAATCATATAAAATGTCAGAGAAAATAAAACCTAAGAATTCTGAAGCTGGTTCTGAATTAACCAAAAATATTTCTTTGGAAAATAGTCAAGAAGCATGTATTTTAAAGGAAGATTCCAGAAAACCTGAGCTGTTTTCACCTGAACAGTATGTAACAGCAGCATCACCTCTTACAAAGATACAATTCAACGAAAATACAAATCTGACAGTATTCCAGAAAAAACAAGAAACTACTTTAATTTCAAAAATAACTGTCAGTTCAAACTCTGAAGAACTTTTTCCAGACAATGAGAATAATTTTGTCTTTCAAATAACTAGTGAAAAGAGTATTCCTATTTTAGAAAACACTAAGGAACTGCATGAGGCAGACATCATTTGCTTAAGAGAACCTGTTCTCAAGAACTCTGCCACGGCAGCACGTACGGACCTGGGAGACAAACAAGCAGCCAAAGTGTCAATTACAAACAATTTTGTTTCATCAAATACAGTCCACGATCTTACAGAGAAAAGTAGAAATAGTGTAAAGCAGCAACCAAAAATGACTCTCAGTCAAGATTCAAAGTCAGATGTCTCCTTGGATATAAATATGAAATCAAACAGAAATAACGATTGCATGGACAAATGGGCAAGACTCTCAGATTCGATTTCAAGTCACAGTTTTGGAAATGGCTTTAGAACAGCTTCTAATAAAGAGATAAAACTCTCTGAACACAACATTAAGAAAAGTAAAATGTTCTTCAAAGATATTGAAGAACATTTTCCTACTAGCTTAGCTTGTATTGAGACTGTAAATACATTATCATTAAAAAGTCAAAAGAAACCAAGCAGACCTCATGCAGTTGATTCACAGTCAATGAACACTATATCTGGGTGTGTGCAGAATAGTGCGTTTATTTGTGACAGTGAAAATAGTCACACAGCTCCAATTTTATCATTAAAGGAAGATTTTAATTCAAACCATAATTTAACACCTAGCCAAAAGGCAGAAATTACAGAACTTTCTACTATATTGGAAGAATCAGGAAGTCAATTTGAATTTACACAGTTTAGAAAACCAAGCGACATTATACAGAATAATCCATTTGAAATGCCTGAAAATCAGATGAGTGTCTTAAAGACCACTTCTGAGGAGTGGAAAGATGTTGATCTTCCTCTCACAGTTAATGTCCCATCTAGCAGTCAGGTAGATAGCAGCAAGGAATTCGAAGATAGAGTTGGAGATAAGCAAAAATTTGCCTGCTTGTCAACAACCAACTGTAACAAGAGCACGTCTGGTAATTCAACAGATAAAAATGAAGTGGAGTTTAGGGGCTTTTATTCTGCTCGTGGCACAAAACTGAGTATTTCTAGTGAAGCACTACAGAAAGCTATGAAACTGTTCAGTGACATTGAAAATGTTGGAGGAACTCCTGCAGAAGTAGATCCAAGAATTTTCTCTTTAAGTAAATGTAACAATTCTGATGTTTCAGAGTTTAAGGAAGAAGATTATAGCAATGATAAAAATTTAAGTGAGAAGAATAATAAATGCCAACTGGTAGTACAAAATAACATTGAAATGACAGCTGGCATTTTTGTTGAAGAAAATACTGAAGATTACAAGAGAAATACTGAAAATGAAGATAACGAATGTATTGGTTTTGTTTGTAACTTAAGAGAATCTGATGGAGGTTCATCAAGTAAAAATGATACAGTTTCTATTCACAAAGATGAAGATGTCTTACCATGTACTGATCAACACAACATGTATCTAAAATCATCTAGGCAGTATATGATGGAGGGCAACTCTCAAAATAAAGAAGATTTGTCAGATTTAACTTGTTTGGAAGTTGTGAAAGCTGAAGAAACATTTCATGTTAATATGTCAAATAAAAGTCAGTCAACTGCTAATAAGATGAGGCAGAATATAAAAAATTTTGACACTTTTGGTTTGTCCTTTCAGACTGCAAGTGGGAAGAACATCAGCATCTCTAAAGAGTCATTAAATAAAGTTGTAAATTTCTTTGATGAAAAATGTACCGAGGAAGAGATGAATAACTTTTCAGATTCCTCAAATTCTGAATTACTTTCTGGCATAAATACCAACAAAATAGACATTTCAAGTCATGAGGAACTAGATAAGGTTAAAGACAAAATACTTAAAGAAAGTGACTCAATTGGTATTGAAAATCAATTACTAACTCTCCAGCAAGGACAGGAATATGAAATCAAAAAGATCAAAGAACCTACCATGTTGGGTTTTCATACAGCTAGTGGAAAAAAAGTAAAAATTGTAAAGGAGTCTTTGGACAAAGTGAAAAATCTTTTTGATGAAAAAAAGCAAGATAATAGTGAAGTCACTAATTTTAGCCATCAAGGGGCAAAGACTCTAATGGACCGAGAGGTATGTAAAGAAGGTTTTGAGTTAGCATGTGAGACTGTTGACATAACTGCCCAAAAGCATGAAGAAATGCAGAATTCTTTAGAGGAGAAAAAACTTGTTTCTGAAGAGAGTGCCGTGCCACCCTGGCTCTTAAGTGATCATTTATACAGACAAACTGAAAATCTCAGCATAACAAATAGCATCTCTCTGAAAGTCAAAGTTCATGAAAATATAGAAGAAACAGCAAAAAGTCCTATGACTTGTTATACAAATCAACCCACTTGTTCAGCCATTGAAAATTCAGCTCTAGCATTTTACACAGGGCATGGCAGAAAAATTTCTGTAAGTCAGGCTTCACTATTTGAAGCCAAAAAGTGGCTTAGAGAAGGAGAACTGGATGATCAGACAGAAAAAAAAAATTCTGCCAAGGTTATATGTTTAAAGGAATATCCTGGGGATTATGTAGGAAATCTTTCATGTGGAAATCATTCAAACAGGATCACAACCGAAAATGACAAAAATTTCTCTGAAGAACAAGATCCAACCTATTTGAGTAACAGCATGTCTAACAGCTATTCATGCCATTCTGATTTTTGTCATTCCAGTGAAGTATTTAATAAGTCAGAATATCTCTCAAAAAATAAAATGGGTAATTCTGGTATTGAGCCAGTAGTGCAGAATGTCAAAGACAGAAAAAACATTAGTTTTTCTGAAGTAATGTCCACTGTAAGAGAAGCAAACACTTATCCACAAGCTGTAGATGAAAGTACTTGTGTTCAGAAGCTCGTGACTAACTCCTCACCATGCAGAAATAAAAATACAGCCACAGAAATGGGCATATCTGATTCAAATAATTTTGAGATAGAGCCACCTGCATTCGGTACAGCAAGTGATAAAACAAAAGTGAGAGAGAGACTTACAGATAACGGCGGGAAGGTAATTAAGCAAAACACTGAGAGCAAATCAGACACTTGCCAAACAAAAATTGTGACAGGTTCTCATAAGGCACTGGAGGATTCAGAGGATATTACTTTTCCTGACTCTCCGGAGAGTGAAGAACATCGTATGCGTTCACATGATGTTTCACCTGACATTCAAAGTGAACCAATTTTATGTCATGACCCAGGTATGTCTGGATTGGAGAAAGTTTCTGAAATACCACCTTTTCATATTAATCTCAAAACTTCTGATATATGTAAGTTGAATGTGGAAAAGCATCCCAGGTCAGTCTCTTCTATGAATGCTTGTGGGGTTTTTAGCACAGCAAGTGGAAAATCTGTACACATATCAGATGCTGCATTCCAAAAGGCAAAACAGGTATTTTCTAAGATAGAAGATGATGCTAAGCAACTCCTTTCCAAAGTATCATTTAAAAGTAATGAAGAACAGTCGGATAAGTTCTCAGGGGAAAATACTAAGATACATACCCCTCAAAATTTACTGTCATCTGCTTTCTCTGGATTTAGTACAGCAAGTGGAAAACAGGTTCCAGTTTCTGAGAGTTCCTTATGCAAAGTTAAGGGAATGTTTGAGGAATTTGATTTAATCAGAACTGAACGTAGTCTTCAGCATTCACCTACATCTAGGCAAAATGAATCAAAAATACTTCCTCTCTCTTGTATTGATAAGAGAACCCCAGAACACTCTGTAAGTTCCAAAGCAGAAAAAGACTACAGTAAAGAATTTAAATTATCAAATAACCGTAACGTTGAAAGTGATTCTTCGGAAAATAATCACTCTATTAAAGTTTTTCCATCTCTCATTCAGTGTAAGCAAGACAAACAACAGTTGGTATTAGGAACCAAAGTCTTACTTGTTGAGAACTTTGATCTTTTGGGAAAAGAACAGATTTTACCTAAAAATATAAAAATGGAAATTGGGAAAGCTGAAACTTTTCCTAATCTTCCTGTGAAAACAAACACAGAAATTTGTTCTACCAACTCCAAAGATTTAGAAAACTATTTTGAAACAGAAGCAGTAGACATTGCCAGAGCTTTTATGGAAGATGGTGAATTGACAGATTCTGAGCTGCTAAGCCATGCCAAACACTCTCTTTTTACATGCCAAAAAAATGAGGAAGCAGTTTTGTTAAATTCAGGAATTGGAAAAAGAAGAGGAGGTGCACTTGCCACAGTTGGTAAGTGTTTTTTCTTTTGGTTTGCCAATCACTTTTTAAATTGTTAAGTCCTTCATAATTTTGCTATGCTAGCTTATAGCAATTAGGATATTATACACTAGGTATATTTTTTCAGACTTTTATGTTTAGTTTGGGGAAATGTGGTTTTACTCTTGATATCACTGAGTCTATGTACCAAGAAGTCATTGGTTGAGTTATGTTGTATAAAGGTTCAGACTCTGGCTCTAAAGTTTAAAAGTTGGCTTCTAGTTATAGGTGTTGGCTTGCTTGCTTTTTTTTTTTTAAATCTAATAAGTGTTCTAAAATCAGTTATCCTTAGCAAATAGTATTCTGGTCTTAATGCCATTTGGACTGTGTTCTAACTTCTCTTTTAAATGTAGTGTATTTAACAACTTGGTTTGACTATTCGGTTAGTTGGATGTGTGATTTTTTTTTTTCTGTTAGTATCTCTGGCTAGGAATAATCTTAAATAATTGAATCTGTTGATTAGTTACAATGAAAGTAAATGCCAAAACTAACTCTTCAACTTTTAAATGGATGACCTTCAATAACTAGCTCCTTTTTTGAAAACTGTAGACTGATAGAGTATCACAGGGCTTCTTGTCCAATCCCTTCCTGTTACAGAGGATACTAAAGCCAGGCAGTTCATTCTTCCACTGGGTGCATTTTGCCCTGAAGTCATCCCAGTGGATACAAATTTGCTTCATCACGTGTTACCAGGTCACGTTCTATACCAAGTTTATGTTATGGGCAAAGTAGTAAGTTTGTAAGACTTATCTTAGACTGTTGCTGTTCTCTAGTGAAAAATTCTGAGGTGCAGATGCTTTAAGATATGCATAATTCTTTCATGGAGAATAATAGTTTTATTTATGGGACCCCATTTTGTGCACGCGTATAGTAAACCCTTATGCTTAGGAATAAAAATAATTCAGACTTCTAATAAATGTTCTCAACAGCATCACTAATTTCCCTCACTTCTGTTAGGTTATAAATATATGTGCACTTAATCAGCTCTGGTTACTTGAATAGTACAGAGCCTTGTCAAACAGTTAAATCACTTTATAATCCAACACTTGATAAAGTGATAAAGCCTTGCTTGGACATTTTTACTTATTAAATCCTTCAAATTCATTCCCTTTACTAAAGCATCAAAAAGCAAAGTATCTATTAACACATATTATCTCAGTATGACATGGAAACACATGACTTGAATTACGGTTTAAGTTTACTCTCAGCCTTTGTAGAATTTTTAAACAAGAAGTACATAATACTTTTGCTAATATTTTAATGTAATTTTGGTAATTTAAAGTCTTTTCTCCCACTCAATGACTCTAATTAAAGGACCTATATAATAAACTCCTTCTTGAGTGTAATGCAAAAAAAATTATTTTAAGAAATTTCGTTCGTCTTTATTGCTAGTAAACCTTTGAGTTACATTAAGTGTTAGTTCATTAAAAAGTAACTTATCTTTGTATCTGGTAACATCTGTTTATTGCTGAACCCTGAATAAATAGTGATATTTTAAAGGGTCAAAAAAAAATAATAGAAGTTAAATTGATACTGAGAAATTAATTTTTTCTTTCAAAATAGAATGTTCACTATTTATTATTATTATTTTTTGCTTAACATATTATAAGAGTCAGTACTTCAGTTTTAAAAAATGGACTATAGGCTTTTGAAAAATAAAATTGATATTATTTGCTTTAAAAACGTGTATGGAAATTTCTTTTTAGGAGAACCCCCAACCAAAAGAAATTTGTTAAATGAATTTGACAGGATAATAGAAAATCAAGAAAAATCCTTAAAGCCTTCAAAAAGCACTCCAGATGGTAAAATTTGCTTTTTATCCATATCTTCCCCTCCCCCCAATAGCTGCAATACATAATATTCTAAAGTCATTTTTCTCAACTCTTTTGGGTATATGCATAATTGGGCAAGCCTTTACAGTGTAGTTTGTTAAAACTTGTATCTTGCCTTGTTTGTTATGTGAGCTTTTCCTTCATAATGTCTAGATATTAGAGATAGTAGATATAAGATATTATACTAGAGGTTCTCCATAATTAAGTGTGAAGAGACAATGAAATAATGACTTTAAATTAAAAAGCTGTAAGAATTTAGTAAGAACTTAGTAAAATAATTGAAGCTCAGGTTCTAGTTCAATTGATTTCATAATATTTACGTGAATCAGTTATTTAATTGGAGGTTGAGAAATAGTAACTTTCAAATTTTATTATTTCTTATAACAAAATGTCCCTTAATAACTAGGGACGAACTTAGTTCTTCCTACAAAGGCAGGGTAAATACTTAATTCTTTTCCTTAAATTACCAGTTTTCAGAGTAAAGAGTAGTTGGTGTAATCATTACTAATGGTAGCAAATGAATTTTTTTCTTTCTTTCTTGAGTAAAACAGATTTCTTAGATTTTTATTTGTAAGATATATAAAGTTTAAAAGTACACATAAATAATATATTTCTTTACTAAAGAAAGCATTCTTTTTGAGGTTCAAATCATTCCAAATTTGAAAGTAGAAACCTCTTCAAGTATTTCCCAAGAGTTGTTTTTTTTTTTAATATACCTTGATTAACCTTTGAGCACTTTCTTGCTTTCTGTTATCACAAAAAGATTTTCTAGGATGTCCATGTAATTCCCCTCCCCAGTTAGAATCCTAAGAATCTCCAAAGATCTTTTCAGTGGTTAATATTTTTGAAAAAAAACAAGATTTGGATACTAACTATGCTCATAGCTGCTGGTGTTGCTGTTTTTTAAATTCTGAATTCTTGTTTCCTAATAACATTAACATATTTACTTATTTCCTTTATCTTCCAGCCCTGGTTCTCAAACTTTTATATCTCAAGACCTCTTTATACTCTTAAAAATTATTGAGGATCCCAAAGAGCATTTGGTTAGGTGGATTATATCTACTTCTATTTACCATATTCAAAATTAAAATTGAGAAATTTTAATATCTGTAACATTGTGCATTGGTCATTTTGAAAATACTAGTTTGGAGTTATACAGCTCTTTCAAATGTTGACATGTTTTGTTACAGAATATTAAACAAATACTTTTGTTAATGTCACCAGTGATCTAATCTGAAAATTTAGTATTGGGAAATTGTCAAGCGAATAGCCTGTTATAAGATTTCCAAAATTATAATTTCATTTAAAAGCTTGAATTTTACAATTCAGTTTGTTTGGCAACAAATACTATTGCTTGTTTTGTTTTGTGTTTTATAGTGACAAGCTTATTTCATTCTTTTTTGAAGAAATATCTGCTGAATACTCAAGTCTGAATAATTGTAGTTTGTTAGTTATTCTTTCAAGTAAAAGTGGAATTGTTTGAAAAAAGTGATTAGTACATTTCATATAAAGTGCATTTCCATGAGAAAATCATAGCACCAAAGTATGCAGCAGGACACACCAGCAGTGCAAATGTCAACACAGTGAGAGAGACTTACATAACATCATCATCATTATTAAGATAGTTTGACAGCTTGAATCCCCTCTGAACATTGTGCATACTCCCCCCTCCAGGGTTCCACGAATCACTCTTTGATAATCACTGTCTTACAGTATATGTGTAATAGTTTCAAGTTGACAATACCAATTTTACTACTAATAATAAACTACCAAGGGAAGTCTAAGAATTCTTTGCAGTTTTTTGTCCTAAGAATACATATCATTAAAAATGTATAGTCAAATTTCTGTGTTCTAATGTCACTCAAAATAATTCTTTTGTTTGTGGTTAACAACTTGTTAATTAGCTTAGATTCTTTTGTTTCAGTTTGTTTTCAATATTAGAATTTGCTTTTTCTTTTTTAATTTTATATTTGAATAAATAGAACTTCTCTGTAGTTCATTCATCAAAACTACAGAAAGGCTTACTTGGAGAAGTCTTGTCTCCATCACTGTCCCCTCCATACTGTTTACCTGTTATACTGGTAATTGTTTTTAATGGTTTTTGGTTTACCCTTTTCAGGTTTCTTTTTGTCAAAAGAAGTAAATAGTTGTATATATATTCTACTTTTCTTACTCAAAAGGTATCAGTACACACATGGTCTTTGTTTGTTGTTTACTTTAGAATTTATCAGGAGATCGTGCCTCAACTCAATATATAGTGATCTTCCTCGTTCTCATGGTTGCATGTACTTAATCATGGGGCTGTTTCAGTATGTTCTGGTTTATTCAACCAATCCTCTCCCTACCAGTGGACTAATCGAAGGTTTAAGAAGTACAAGTTACATACTGAGAAAGAGTAATACCTAAACTTTTGCTTATAAACCTTCATAAAACTAAATTTTATATTTGCATCGGCAATTAGCTAACACCTTTAAGTTATAATTAACATCAGCTGACTAAATTTATACTGATATCTCACATATGTTTGCACTGTGAGTTGTTTGGTATTAATGAATATCAATTTGTGAATCAATTGATAGTTATTACCTAAGCATCCATTATATGCACTGAAGATTTTTAACAATATAATTTTATAAAATGTTTGTGTAAATGTTCACAGTAATGTGCAATGAACATAGGAAATAAAATCTCTCATTAGATTGTCATTAATACATAATGTAAAACATATTTCATTAATACATTATGTAAAATAATATTTTTCTAGGCACAGTGAAAGATAGAAGATTGTTTATGCATCACACTTCTTTAGAGCCAGTTACCTGTGGACCCTTTTGGTAAGACACGTTTAAGTTTTTTTTTAATTCTACTAATACAGTGTAGGAAAAGTGTGGGGTTTTTTAGTAAATATTTCTAAAAACAAAGGCTCTAACATACAGTAAAGACACTAGCACTTCCCTTTTTGAAAGCCTGCATCAGGATTAAATAGTTCTGTACTTTGGTAGTACTTTATAGTGCTGTACATACTATTATCTCATCTTTAATTTCATAACTTTGTAAAGTGGACTAACAGGTTTTGTTCCAGTTTTGTGAATAAGGTACTGTGGTTGAAAGGGATTAAGGAAATTACTCAAAATCAATAAAGATAGCAGATATTATGTTTCAATTATATTAATAAAAGTGAAAGAAAAATAAAAGATGGCATATATTTAAAATATGCTTTATCTCTCTTCCTTCTCAAAACCCTACTAGTTACTAAGAATTTTTTTTAAATGTATAAATCCATAAGAATAGTGATCAGAAGAAACAGTAACATTTTGGAAGCTAAAAAGCGTGAATGACTTAGAAAGACATAGCAAGCTAAAACCTGAGCAAGCAGAGAAGCTACCTGGTTTCCCCAGAGAACCTGCAAAAGACTAAAATTGGCAGCAACATACACTTCTTAAGGTGAGGTAGAAAATATGAAGATGAGTTGAAAATCTGTTCAGGAAACAGATATGTCCTCTCCCCACCACAGGCAGGCAATTATCCCTCTCCTGCCAAAAGACCAGAAGGTCATTCTCTGGAGATGAATTAGAAGAATTCTAAATTGGGGATGGGGTTGGGGGAAGTACTGAAAACAGAGATTAATTAGAAATCTGTGTATCAAATAGTGAGACTCCCTAACCTCCTTCCCACATTTAGCTCCCAAATGCCAGCAGCCAGGCCTCTAGGCAGAAAACTGGAAGATATTTTTTCTGGGTAATAGGACCAGCCCAGTAGGAAAAACTAAAAATGCTGGCAGTGGTGGGTACTGAAATGAAACCACATAGCCACATCACCAAGAAGCCAACAACTGCCGAGCCCCTCAGCACACAGCTTCCAGTTAGCTGTTCAGTGCTTCACTCTGAAATAAGACCAGATAGTCAAGGGTCACTAGTCACTGGAAGAAAACCTCTATAAAAGATAGTATCCAAAGTACAAAAACCGAAACAAAAGGAACTTAGAGGAAATAGACTGTACAAGAAGAAGAAAACGTCAAAAAGCTTACTAATAATTTCAGGAAAGAGAACATATTGCATCCTTAAAATAAGAAGCTCTTGGAAATTAAAACTATGATGGCACAAGTCAACTAACTCAGTAGAAGAAACAGGAGATAAAAGTTACGAAAACTCCCAGAATGTAGAACAAAAAAGAAAAGGAGATAAAAAAGGAATGAAAGATAATTTTTTAAAGTCAGCCCTGTTGGTCTAACATCTGAAAATTTGGAGTTTGAGGAAGAAGGAACAGAGGAGAAATGAAGAGAGAAGTTTTCAAAGAAATAATTTAAGGTATTTTACTAGTACTGAACGACATGAGTTTCCTTGATCAAAAGGACCCTCTGAGTGAACGCATAAATTAAAACGACCCAACTAAGGCATATCCTTGTGAAATTTTAGAACACTGTGGGCAAAGAGGAACCTTAAAATTTCAAACTTCAAGTTCCAGGGGTTTAGGACTGGGTAAAAGGAAGCATGGGGTTTTCAACAAGATACCAATTAGGAAGAACATGTATGCTGAGGAAGGTGATAAGTTTAGTTTTGGACTTGCTGAGTTTGCAGTGAGTGTGGAACATCAAGATAGGGATGTGTGGTGCTAAATGCAATCCAAAGTGCAGGAATAACACCTGGGGAATGTCAAGCATAAAGATCCATATTTTTATTTTTAAATAAAAATATTTCACAATATTCCATATTTTTATTGTTAAATAAATTCCTATTTTTATTGGTAAGTGATAATTTAAGCAATGGAAATGACTCATATCACCCAGGGAAAGTGTCTGGGGAAGAAATCCAACTTTGAAGGCAGGAATATTTTCAAGAGAAAAAGGAAAAGCCAGTTTAAAAAAAAAAAGGAAAGAAAGAAAGGGACAGTCGTGGCAGTGAGAATTTTAAAAAGGAAAAAGCTGTCAAAACTGGCACAGTTCAAGTAGAATGAGTTTACACATGAAGCTTTTTTCTTTTTTGGCATTGGGAGGTCATTAGCAACTTTACTGAGAACAAATTCTATGGAATAGTGGGGGAAATGAGAGCTCAATGAGGAGAAAGTGAGGAAGTGAAACAGCTCGTTTAGATTAACCGCAGAGGAAGATCGGCCGTGAGGGAGAGGGAGCAGTATTAGCTTGAAGGGGAGATAAGGCTGAGAAAAAGGGTTTTCAAGGGTGGGCAAGGCTTTCTGATTGAGAAAGGTGTAACAGCTGGTAGAGAAAGGATGAAAATGGAGTAACCATTGAAAAGGTGGGGCTCCCGAGGAGACTGAGTTACTAGCTGGGGGCAGGGGTACAGGGGAAGGGGTCGCTGTGAGAAAGGACGGAAAGGAGCTGTCTGGTGAAGGGGGTTAGTGAGGAGCTTTGGAACTGGAGGAGACAAACGGAGGACCCACGTTTGACAGACTCTTCTCTCGTGTTTGTAAAGTCAAAGACTGGGAGTTGATGTGTGAGAGACAGTTACAGACTTGGAAAGCATGGTTTTAGAGGACAACCACGATGAAATGCAAGACAGTGACCAGAATAAGATTGCCAGGTAGCAGTTGAGGCTCTCTCTATGTATATATTCTAAAATATTTATGTCTGTGTACATTTACTGATAAATAATGAAACAAATATTTTCTCCCCATTGTAGCACAACTAAGGAACGGCAAGAAATAAAGAATCCAAACATCACTGCACCTGGTCAAGAGTTTCTATCTAAATCTCATGTTTATGAACACCTGACTTTGGAAAAGTCGTCAAGCAATTTATCAGCTTCCGGGCAGCCACTTTGTAAGGTTCCTGCCCCAAGAAATGAAAAAAGGAGACACTCGATATCTGCAGGCAAACCAATGAAAGTCTTTGTCCCACCTTTTAAAACTAAATCACACCTTCACAGAGATGCACAGTGTGTGAACAGGAATACTAATTTGGAGGAAGACAAACAAAAACAAAAAAACATAGATGAACGCAGCTCTGGTGATAGTGAAAATAATGGCAGTGAAATTCATCAGCTTAACAAAAGTAACTCCAATCAAACAGCAGCTGTAATGTTCACAAAGGGTGACAAAGAACCTTTAGGTATTATGTGAAAATTTGTATTGACTTATTTTTGCCTCTCAGTCATATATTTCTTATAGTAAATAATGCCTTTAGAGTTTCCCTCTTTTATAATGATTACTAATTTCAAAACCTTTTGTAATGCTTAAATTTTTCCAAGTCCAAAGATTAAGTTTAAATTATTCTGATGTTTTCTTTCAAAGGTAACTACTTGTAGACTTTCTTGTTTAAGAAAAAAAGAAAAAGCTATTAGACACATAATCTAGGATTGCTATTATTGCATTATATTTTTTATCAGGCTGCTAATTTTCTCCCAAATTCAAAATAAAAGTAATAGATCTATTTCTGTTCTTTACAAATAGAAACTTTTTTCATCCCTGAAGATTTAAAGCTAGAGCACATTGATATATATAATTTTATAAAACAAGGGTTGTGCTTTTAAAATTTCATACTCAATTTTATTTTTTGCTAATTATTTTCTTTAATAGATTTAATTACAAATCTTCAGAATGCCAGAGATATTCAAGATAAGCAAATTAAAAAGAAACAAAAGCAACGTATTTTTCCACAGCCAGGCAGTCTGTATCTTGCAAAAACATCCACTATGCCTAGAATCTCTCTGAAAGTGGCAGTAGAAGGCCGAGTTCCCTCTGCATGTTCTCATAAACAGGTATGCTTTTATCTATAATGCGAATAACTTTTATAGCACTGCGCAACTTTATTTTATTAACTGCCATCTCCAAATTTTTTTGTTTAAAGAAAAAAATTAATGCAGAAAGGGATGAGTAAAAATCATCTTGCCTCCTAATCAGCGTATAGCGGCAGCTGCCTTCTCCTCTGCTCCCTTATCTTACCAAAGTTCTCTGTGCTTCAGGATTACCATTTCTCTTTCTGCTTCAAAACATATTCATTTTATTACTGTACGTGTTCTCAGCTACGTGTTAGAGGAAAGCAGTTTCATTGAATTTAAAGTGTGACTAACTCATTACCCTGAACCTGCTAAAAGCTATTTACATTTTTAGAAGAGGATTTTTATTAAGCCAGTACCATCTAGTTAGAATTTTAGGTAATGGGGAGGTAAAAGGTTAGACTCCTTGTAAGCTTTTTAACTTAAGAGGTTTTGTAAAACATTAAATGACTTTTTCAATCCCCACAGCAGCTTCCTGTGGCAGATAGAGCAGGAGGCATGTACACAGGGGAATGAGAAAGATGCAGCAGACTCTTGAATGTGTGGGTCATGTTTATTACATAAAAATGTTTTAGCTTCTAGTAAGTAAGTTAAATATTTTTGTAGTTAATATTTTCATATTTAAATGAAAAACTGGGTAACTGATTTGGTTTGTTTCTATTCTGTGAAACATGCTCTTTAGTTTGTTTTGTTTTTTATTCATTATCAAACTTTTATGTTATTTATTTTGTGCAGCTATATATGTATGGTGTTTCTAAACACTGTGTAAAAATTAACAGCAAAAGTGCAGAGTCTTTTCAGTTTCACACCCAGGATTACTTTGGTAAAGAAGGTTTATGGGCTGGAAAGGGAATTCAGTTGGCTGATGGCGGATGGCTCATACCCTCCAATGATGGAAAGGCTGGAAAAGAAGAATTTTATAGGTACTCTCTGGGAAAAGAAATTTTCTGTTAACTTTTATATATTCCATCATCCCTCTCTTCTTCATGAGTCCTTTTTTTTTTTCCTCTTTCCTTATCTCTCTTGAACTTAAAAATTTGGCCAGAAATCAAAATTTTATACATTGAATCATTTTAAGTACATTGTGGTTCACTTGATATTCTATTGAAATCTTTTGAAAAGTGAATTTTGGTTTGTCTTAGGATTGGCTCTACTGGTTTTTCTTAGATTAGGAAATTATTCCTATGGCTTTTACAAAATAAAGATGGATAAGAAAAGTTAAGTGTGATCGGCCTTATGGTAAACTTCCCCCCACACACATATGCTTATGTGGCTGTTCTCTTTCATTGCGTATTTCAATCAAGTTAAACAGAAATACTTAAATATCAGAAACACTAAATAACTAGTTAATTTCAGTGCCCTAAAACATCAACAGTTTAGAAACTGTATCGTCTTATGATTTTAATGTTTATACAAACATAACTTAAAACTTTTGGTGTCAGGGAGATATTACATCATGCCAATGACAAGAGAGATAGGAAACCTTTCTCCAGTGCCCGTATTTTTTGAAATACCTGTACATCTTTCCAAAATTTATAGTTTGGGGAAAATGGTAAAACAATTTTTCCTTAAATTTTTGTTGTATTTTAAAATAGGAATGTTATTTACATCTTGCATTTGTCCCATGTAACAAATATCTGCTCTTGACTCTGTTTGGAAAAGTAAGTTGTGTCACTTAATTATATTAAGTAGACTGCACAGTGTAGAGGTTAAGAGTGATTTCCCTGCAATCAGGTGGGCATGGTTCAAAACGTTTGAATGCTGAAGCTCAAGCTGTGTTTTTGATCATTCAACAGATATTTATTGAGCACCTACTGTGTGCCAGATACTATCTTGAGTACTAGAGATAACAAAAATCTCTGCCCTACTAAGTCATTCTTGTGAAGGGGTTCAGGACAGGGAAAGAAAAATTTAAAAAGAAATAAGTTAATTGTATAGTATATAAAAAGTGACAAATACTTTGAAGATAAAGCTGAAAGAGGAGGATGGAGAGAATTGGGTGAGGAGAGGTGCAAGTTCTTAAGTAGAGTAAGTAGTCAGGAGGCTTCACTGAGTCCATGATATTTAATCTGTGTCCTGAAGGATGTCAAGGGAGTGAGCATAGGACCATCTGGGGAAAGCAGGGAACATGCTAACTTGAGGAACAGAAGGAAGGTTGATGTGACTGGAGTAGAGTGGGTGAGAGAAGAATCGTGGATGAGGTCGAGAACTTTGGCTTTTACTCTGAGGAAACCATTAGAATGTTTAAAGCAGAGAGGTGACATGATCTGACTTAGTTTTGAAAGAATGACTCTGGCTGCTTGTTGAGATTAGACCATAAGGAGGGGCAAGGATGAAAGCAGAGAGACTACTTCGGAAGCTATTGCATAAGCCAGGTGAGAAATGGTTGCTTGGGCCAAGGAGGTGGCGGGGAGCTGGTGAAAAGCAGTTGGAAACTGGGTATTTTTTGAAGGTAGCATCATCAGTATTTGCTCAAGGACTGGATGAGGAGTGTAAGAATGGCATTAGCAGCTGGAAGGAAACAAGTTACCATATACCATGAATGGAGATGACCAAGGATGGAAGGGAAATTGAGAGTTCAGTTTTGGACATTTGAAGTTTGAGGCATTAGTAGGCATCTAAGGGGAGATGTTCCGTAGGCAGTTGGATGGACATGCAGGTCTGGAGTTCACAGGTGAACTCTAAGCCAAAGAAAGCAGTTCAAGAGTTATCAGGATATAGATGGAATTCAAAGCCATGAACCTCTGAGAAAGAGCAACCGCAAAATCAAAAATAAATGCTAAAGAATGTGGTGTGTTGCAAACCAAGTAAAGGTAGAGCTTCAGGTAATGGAGAGTGACCAGCTCTGTCAGTTGCTGCTGATAGGTAAAGGTGAGAACTGACGATTGATCACTGGATTGTAGAGGTCCTTACTAATCTTAATAAAAATAATACATTAGGTTGGTGGGGCAAAAGCCTGATCAGGATGCAGTAAAAGGGCAGTGGGAGAAGAGAAGTTGGAGAGAGAATACAGTCATTCTTTCATGAATTGCTATGAAGAGAAGCAGAGTGAGAGGCAGTATCTGAAGAAGAAAGTAGGGTCAAAGGGTGTTCAGCTTTGTTGTGTTTGTTTTAAGGTAGGGAAATATTTTTTATGCTGACGGAAATCATTCAGTAGAGGGGGAAGAAACTGATGGTGCAGGAGGGAGGAGGCATTTCCCAGACAAATGTCCTTGACTAGGCAAGAAGGGTGGGAGCTAGTGTCCAAATGACAGGAGGAGCCAAAGTGTGAGGGAACCGGTGCTGGTGAGTTGGTAGACAGGAGGGTAGAAGTTTATGGTTCTGTTTTAATTGCTTCTGTTTACTTAGTTCTGAGCATGAGAATGGAGAGGAGTTGTAGATTTGAGCAGAAAGGGAACAATATCAAGAAGAGCACCAGGACTAGAGAAGGACGTTCTTAGGTAATTGCTAAAAATAATCTCTTTAATAAGAAATATCTAATCAAAAATACAATTATTTTAAGTTAAGGTTCTCATTTTCCAGTTGAAATAATTGTATTGACTAATATATTAAATGAAACTTTTATAATTTTTATTAGTATATCTTGATACATGTCAAATCATTTTCTAAAATTATATTACTTATTGATTATACATTAACTCATAAAGACTTACTGAATAATCTTGTACAATGTAGGTTTTTTTGCAAAGAATAGTTGGGGGTTATTAAATTCAATATCATCTTATGTGTTTTTTATTATGTATTCTACTTTTATTTGTTCAGGGCTCTGTGTGACACCCCAGGTGTGGATCCACAGCTTATTTCTAGAGTTTGGGTCTATAATCACTATAGATGGATTATATGGAAACTGGCAGCTATGGAATTTGCCTTTCCTAAGGAATTTGCTAACAGATGCCTAAGCCCAGAAAGGGTGCTTCTTCAACTAAAATACAGGCAAGTTTAAAGCATTATACCATGTCAGCATACAGAGGTCATAGAGGTACACTAGCCAGTTGTTGGTGGCAGGTGCCATCCCACACTGCTGTTCAGTGGTATGGAGCCATTCTTTTGTCACCCAACCCCCTACTCCATCACACATTCCTACACCTCTTTCTTCCCTCTTCTCCTACTGTCTCCTTAACCTCTTGGCCCATTTGAAGAATTTGAATTACTAATTTGATCCACTATTTAGGGATTGCTAATAAAGCATTTTTGCATTTGGGGGTTTTAATATTTTATTTATATTTTAGCAGTATAAAACTTAATATATTGCTAGCTACCAAATTTTAAGTTCTCTTTGGTCTCAGTATTTCTTCAATAAAGGTGTTTAATTTTATTCTTGGTTATTTGGTGGCTTTTTTTAAGCAATGGAATTCTAGACTCACAATTCCTAAAACAATGCATTTTTCTTTTTCTTTTTAGATATGATGTGGAAATTGATAGAAGCAGAAGATCAGCTATTAAAAAGATAATGGAAAAGGATGACACAGCTGCAAAAACACTTGTTCTCTGTGTTTCTGAAATAGCTTCATTAAGCACAGATACATCTGAAACTCCTAGCAGTAAAACTAGTGGTGTAGATACCACAAAAGCAGCCGTGGTCGAACTTACAGATGGATGGTATGCTATTAAGGCCCAGACAGACCCTCCCCTCTCAGCTCTCATAAAGAACGGGAGACTGACTGTGGGTCAGAAGGTCATTATTCACGGAGCAGAGCTGGTGGGCTCTCCTGATGCCTGTACACCTCTTGAAGCCCCAGAATCTCTTATGTTAAAGGTAAATTAAATTAATGCACACTCTTGGTGCAGAAAAGTCAGTTACTGATTTTAAGTTCTAGGGAAGTTTCACACTTAAAATTTTAAATTTACTTATGCCTATTAAGGATGTTTCTTGAAAATGTACCGATACTCTTAGTCTTTCTAGGTTTATTTCCTAATTTTAAGGGCATTCAACCTCCAGAGGCTTCTTGAAAAAGAAAACATGCAGTGTTTTTTCATCTTATCACAAGATTGGCTGAATATAGAATTTGAGGTTGGAACAATTTTGAAGACATTTCCTCTGTTATCTATTGCTTCTAGTACAATTTCTGCTAAGTTTAGTGCTGGTCTTACTCCCAGTCCTTCACCGTGTGATCTGCTTCCAAGATGTTTCTAAGATCGTTTGTCTCCATTATTCTGAAATTGCACAAAGAGGTGATTTAGTATCAGCCTTTTTTTTTTTTTTTAATCATTGTCTTGGGTACATAGTGGCAGTCAGTCTGTAGGTATATGTCCTTTGAGTTCTGGGACATTTTCTTGGAGTAGTTCTTTGATAATTTCTTCCCTCTTTTTTCTCAAACTCCTGATACTTGAACATTAGGCCTCTTAGTTTGGTCATCTAATTTTCTCATCTTTTTGATTTTTCTGTTTTATTGTCTTTTTTCCTCCCTACTTTTAGTTCTTAATCTTATCTTCTAATCCCTGAAGGGAATGAATAGTATTCCTATTGGCATGATTTCCAATTTTTAATAGACTTTTATTTATTATTCCTTAAATGTTTCTTTTTTTAATTGAACTTGGTTATTGTTTCATAGATATAATATCTTCTTATCTTTCTGAATCTATTAATTAATATTTTGTTTTAATTTCATTTTCTCTGCTTCCTGCATTTTTTTCCTTGTGAGGACCTCTTTTTCTCTTTGTTTGAGCCTCTCAGATTGGAGACTTCCTCAACTGCTGGTTGCTGGCTGTCCCTTCCTCTTCAGGAGTGGGCAGTGATGAGCTGATCAGCAACTCTGTGCGTCAGCTTGTGGGGGTGAAGCAGATGGGGACTTGATGTTTTTCCTTAGGAGACCCTTAGATACCAGTGATCATTCTGAGGGCTGAGCAGAGTAAGAAAACTAATAGAGAAGCTCATTTTTAGCATAAGAATAAGTCTTAGGGCTATTGTAAAGATTAAATATTAATTTAAAAAAAAACACTTATCACTGTGCCAGGCACCATAGGAAGTGCTATATGAATGTTTGCTACTTTTAGTAACTGCGGTCATTCTTGGGCTGCTTTGTTATTTACCATTTGTCCAATAAATTCTGAGCTTCCAAAATTTTGGTAGTATCTATTTTCCTCTTCTTTCTAGTTCTCTTTGTCCTTATAGGTTTTTTGAGGGAGCTAGATAAGTAAGTATATCTTACTTCAGTTTAAACATGACGGATTCTCTTTTATTAATTTTCAATAGTAATGTTTATATAACATTAAGACTCTGTATCATTTAAATAATTTCTTTGAGATACTGTATTTTAAGTTAGTATCATACAGTTTTCCTGCTTATTCACTCTCTTTTCTTCATGAGACGTTTAATAGAGAATGTTTTTAAAGCAGCCCTAAAGGAAGGAAAACTATTATGAAATCTGAAAGAGAACTGAATATATATCTAACTTATAAGTGACTTATTTATTAATTTGTCCAGATTTCCACTAACAGCACTCGGCCTGCTCGCTGGTATGCCAAACTCGGATTCTCTCCGGATCCTAGACCTTTTCCTCTTCCTTTGTCATCACTTTTCAGTGATGGAGGAAATGTTGGTTGTGTTGATATAATTGTTCAAAGAGCATACCCTATTCAGGTATGATATATTCTGAAGCTTGCTATGTATTTCTCTCTTTAGAGACAGTTAATTTGAATCCCTCCCTAACGTGTATCTTTGTTTGACACATTGTTACAGTGGATGGAGAAGACACCATCTGGATTATACATATTTCGCAATGAAAGAGAAGAAGAAAAGGAAGCAACAAAACATGCAGAAGCCCAACAAAAGAAACTAGAAGCCCTGTTCACTAAACTTCAAGCAGAATTTGAAGAGCATGAAGGTAAAACGAGTCATGTTTACAAGACCTTTTTTTCATGTGAGAACAAAGTTTTAGAGGTTTCTAATTGAGTGAATTGTCTTTCTTTTGAGTAACAGATTTTTTTTTCCTAGTTCTGAATCTGGATTTTTTTCTGATTTTTAAAAACAATATTACATAGATATACAGATAAGCATTGAATTGGCCCAAAATATCACATGTTTATTCAACATAGTAAGCTTTTAGATCCTCATAATTGTCTCAGACAATGAAGCATTACATACCCACAGCACTTTTTAGAAGTCTTCAGTAAACTCCCTCTTCAGCTTTCGTACTAAAGTATTTGTAGTGTCCACGCTGGGTATTAGAGAAGAAAAGCAACAAGGGAAAGAACTATCAGGTGATTTTCCCCAAGCCCTTTGTCATTCTCTCTTCTCTGTGCCCTTATCTACATTTTAGAACTTGCATTTTTGGCGTTGAATTTTATGTTTTTATACTGGAGCTACAACTTGTTTTCGCTGTGGCATCAATTTCAATAATAAAAATCATAGTGTTTTATGTTTAAGGACATGAAATTTACTTTTTTACCCTTTTTATTGCAGAAAATTTTATGTTCTGCATATGTTCATGATTTTCTTTATTATTTAATTTCATGTTCTACATAAATCTGCAGAAAAATTGGGCTCTCAATATTTGATTTGCTTAAAATTATCACCAACTCATGATAAAGCAAATCATGAAGTTATTTACTTAATTTACAAATTGCTCTAATTGAATAAACTATATTTTTTAAACCATGAATACACTAATTTCACATTTTCCTGGAGAACTTTTAGCAGATAAATGGTTTGTTTTTTAACCTCCCTACTCTGGGTGTTTTTTGCTGGATTCTCTAGTTTTCCATATTCTTAAATTTGTAGTTTAGCAAATTAGTGTTTTTCCCCCCGCTAGACAATGTAACAGAACGATATATACCTCCACGTGCACTGACAAGACAGCAAGTCCGTGCTCTGCAAGATGGTGCAGAACTTTATGAAGCCGTGAAGAATGCAGCAGACCCAGGTTACCTTGAGGTGAGAGTAAGTGGGCCTGCAGTGAGCTTTAATCCTCATCCTTTAATGTGGGAGGCTGTAGTCAGTCTTCTGGCCGTTACGGGAAACAGCATGTTGAAATGCTGTGTTTCTCAAAGGGGGCGTGTACTTTTCTAGGGTCCTCAGTGATGTACCAAACCAGTGTGGTACATTTCCAATTCTGTACCAAATAGAGGATGAGAGGGTTAAATAATTTTATATATCAAATATGCTCTAAAATACAGGCAAAACTTGTTTATTTTTAAGATAAAATAAATATCTTCAAAGCAATGTCTCAGTTTCCATGTTCTCAGCTCTTTCTCAGATCTTTAGACCTAGAGTTTATTTCCTAATCCTCTACCTTAAGGGTACTTAGGTGAGAAAGTTTCAGAAGCACTAAACTGTTACAAATAGCATAGGCCTTAAAATCATGGTTCTACCATTTATTAGCTAAGCAAGTTGGACATAAAATAGCTATCAAATGGGCACAAAAGATGTTGTTTTAGGCAAATCAGATAATGTATGTAAAGTATACTGTTACAAAGTTCTATATAAATGTTAGTCACTATTATTAGAACATCATTTCGTATATTAAGGTGAGCTACTGCCTAATTTTTAGACACCTGGGTCTAATTAGATAATTAATGCAAATTCTAGGATTAGTTTGGTAAATAGGGAGGAGAGGGGAAATTCTAGAAAAACTTGTTTATTTATTGATTAATCTCATTTATTTGGTGACAATAAATCTTGTATATAGCCTTTACTTTCTTAAATAGTGGGAGCTTAAAATAAATACTACTCCACTAGGAGAGTGAGGCGTGCTGTTCTGAATAGAATTCCCTTAGATTCCCAAATGTTGCAACTCAGTCTCCCTGTGAGAAGTCAGTGCTGTTTTCAAGCCTGTGAGTATAGTTGCTCCACGTCTGTAAGGCTTTATTATGCTCATCTGAAAAATTAGTTGCCCCTCTCTCTTTACCTTTGTTGAAGCTTGTGACATATATGAAGATAGTTCTAATTTCATCCACAAATTTTAACAAAATATTATTCTGGTTTCCACTGATAGAATTTACTGATAAGGAAAAAGTAAGGGGGCAGAATGAGAGTTGGAGGACTACGTTCTAGACCTGGCCCTGCCCCTGTGTAGCTGGACAAGTGGTTTGTCTCTCAGACCTCCTTTCCACTGTCCGTCAAGGGAAAGCCTGAGAGGGGCTTTCAGGTTCTAAGTTTATATGATTCTATGAAATTTCACTTAAAGTTATTATAATCCCTAGAGGGAACCATCAGTTTCTAAAATACCCTGTTAAAAGGACTTGTTTTCAGTGGCAATACTTTAGTGTTGTGGGACTTCTGAAACCATATATCTTTTTAAAATTTCATGTTTAAACTAAACACTGCATATCTAGGAAGACCTTTGTAGAGCACAGGGATTTCATAGTCTCGCCTCCTAACACGGACTCGGGTGTTAGGATGGGGAAGCCAGCAGCAGTCTAGTAGGCTGTGTGTTGAGATTCTGCTTCCTGTTTATTCTGGTTTTGGTTTACTCATTTATTTGTTTTTTGTTAACACTGGGTGAGATTCCCAGGAGGTTTAAACAGCAATTTGCTGAAATGATGGGGAGAGAAGTGCAGAGGCAGAGATAAGTGCTTGTAGTACATGTCTGTTTTAAATTCTATCTCCTGTTCCAGAGAGTTAAGGCGATTATACTACAGGAGCTAAGAAGGAGGGCTCTTGAGCCAACCCCTGTCTGTATGCCTCTGCAAGTTATTTATTCTGTCTTTACCTCAGTTTCATCATCTACCACAAGAAAACAATAATAGTACCTCATGGGATTATTGTAAGGATTGAATGATTTAATCAATACATTACCTCCCCCCCACATAGATATATTTCTCAAATATAGTAAGCATTCAGATGTTAGCCATTTATAATGTCAGTGTTGATGATTATGATTATTAGAGTATGTTTATAAATAGGGGTTGTTTGGGCCCTAGGTAAATTTGTCACAAATTACTAATATTACTAATACTGTTTAAGGCACTTGAAAATATTCGTTATATGATAAGCTGAGACCTTTAATCTCAATTTTTATATTATCACATTCTTAAAGTGAACTTGATTCTGTTGTATTTTATCCCCATTTAAAGAGTTTCATTACAATAGATGAGTTGTTTTGTTTCTGTTTTGTTTGCTTTGTATTCCAAAATCATCTGCCTTAATTTATTAAATGGCTACAGGGTTATTTTAGTGAAGAGCAGTTAAGAGCCTTGAATAATCACAGACAGATGTTGAATGATAAGAAGCAAGCCCAGATTCAGTTGGAATTCAGGAAGGCTATGGCATCTGCTGAACAAGGGGAACAGATTTTACCAAGGGATGTTACAACGGTGTGGAAGTTGCGTATCATAAGCTATAAGAAAAAGGAAAAAGATTCAGGTCAGTATGTAAATTTTTTGTTTTTATAAATTTTTTAAGTTAAAAAATTAGATAAAATTATTTCAAATGCTAGATAAAGTGTAAAGTGAGCGTATATCAGAGAAGCAAAACTGGGTTTCCAGTGCCCACAACATGATAATCCTTAGATCTTAATTGTCCTCAGTATTTATTTTTAAACAAGACTTTTCTTAATGATTACCATTTCTCCCATTGTGTCTTCTTTCTCTTTAAATAGTTATATTGAGTATCTGGCGTCCATCATCAGATTTATATTCCCTCTTAACAGAGGGAAAGAGATACAGAATCTATCATCTTGCAGCATCAAAATCTAAAAGTAAATCCGAAAGAGCTAACATACAGTTAACAGCAACCAAAAAAACTCAGTACCAACAACTACCGGTATAAACTTTTTATTATATTTTTCAATTTTGATAAATGTGTGTTAGTTTATAGAATCCACATATATCCATATTTATTTTTCTTGTAGGCGTCAGATGAAATTCTATTTCAAGTTTATCAGCCAAGGGAGCCCCTTCACTTCAACAAATTATTGGATCCAGACTTCCAGCCGCCTTGCTCTGAGGTGGACCTGATAGGATTTGTAGTTTCAGTTGTGAAAAAAATAGGTAATAACACAGTGTATTTAATGGTAGCTTTTTATGGATGCTTTTGAAAACATTATATTTTAAAACTTGTCTTCATGATTAATTGGACTACTAATCAGCAAGTTTGGTAACTAGTGATTTGAACATAGGCTTGTTTTTAACCCCGATTCTTAATGAAAAGCAATTCTACATTATTACAAGGAAACAACTTACATCCCATCTGTGCTACTTAATTTTAAAGAAATTGCTAGAAAGTGTCTTGCAGCATATTAGTGATTCCTAGACGGATCCTTATAATCTCCCTCTGCAGCTAACTGAGCAATCAGGCCTCCACCTCCTGCTTCAGTTTTTACTACTTTCCAGCATCTTAGCCAAATTCATCTGAATTTTATTCCTTCAGTATGATATTGCTCATTCCTCTTCCCACACCATTCTATAGATTTTATCTTCAAAGCCACACTCTCTTGTCTACCTGAGTACTATGCAAGTGTCAGGGTCAGCTTAGGTCTCAACTAGAAGCCTTCCATTTACTGTATTATTTCGCGCCAGGCACCTCAGTGCTCTGTCCTCCATTCTCTTCAGCTGCGCTGACACCTTCCTTGCTGTTCTGAGCCAGTTTCATCACAGAGCCTTTCTACTCACTGCTCCCTGCCCAGAAGCCCCTCCCTGCAGACAGCCACGTGGCTGGCCCCCTTGGCTCCTTCAGGTCTCTGGGCAAATGCAACCTTGTAAGAGGCCTTTTGCTGAGCACCCTTTGTAAGAGAGCTGTACTCCCTCTGCTCCCCAGCCCAGCCTTTTCTCTTCTTTACTCTGCTTTATTTTTCTGCATAGCACCCACCACGTGTGTCTCCTTCTTCTGGAATGTTGGCTCTCTAAGGGCAGAGACTTGGTTACCACTGTATCCTCAGCTCTTAAAACAGTGCGTGGTTCAGGGTAGGGTCCCAAATTGGTAGATTCCTTGTTTGATTATCAACTGTTCTGTCATGGTTTTTACCTTCCTCAGTTCTTTGGCTAAGGCTTATTGTCAGTCCTTTTTTCAAGAAGCCTTCAAGTATGCCGTATTGCATGAGTTCCTCATATGTCTGAAATATGTACCTAATGCCTAATTCTGAGACCTTATCTTGGCAGGTACAATAATGTGGGATCTTGCTTTTCTTCCTTCAGAACTTTGTAGAAATTGCTCTTTTGATATTGAACAGTCTGGGACTTGCCTAATTTTCCCCCATTTAGGTGATTTTCTTTTTATGTCTAGATGTGTGAAGAATATGTCTCGAAGTCCAAAAGTTTAAGCTATGTTTTAGTATAAGCATTCTGTATACAGTTCTCCTGGAACACTGATGCCTTTTTAATCTGCAGGTTCAGTGCTTTCTTTATTTCAAGGGAATTCTGTAGTATCTTTGAATAAATCTGCTATTTCATTTTTTGGGATTTCTACTTCAAGGACAGCAGTTAGTATTATGTTGGATTGTTTTTATTTTTGTTTTTATCTCTTCTCTGATTGCTTCTGTTTCTTTGTCTTTTCCATCTTCATTCACCGTGATTATATCCAGCCTTTATGTCGTAATTTTATTTTCTGCAATCTATGTTTTATTTCTTGTTATTTGTAATGCATGTGTTTGTCCCATTATGTCCACAATTTATTTCTTTGGTCCTGTAATCTCCTTTTTGTCTTACCAGGCTATTTTTCATTCCATATTCACATTCAAGCTTTTATTGAATATATGTTATTAAGTTCAGTTACATGAATCTCTTTTGAAGACTTCAGAAGTTTTCTTCTCTTCCAGTTTTGTTTACTTATGAGCTGTGCTCTTTGTCTGTTACTGGGCTCTTTTCTCCTTTTGTTTAATGTGTTTCTGTGTTTTGTTTAGTTCTGTTTTAGTGCTTTGTGGGGTTTTCTTTGACTATTATGTTAATATGCTGCATGGTTTTCGTGGCGTTTTATTTCCTCTTGGTCATACTTGGGTGACTCTCTCCACACACTATATTATTGTTATAGAGGGTAGGTAACTTGTATTCAATTGTTCAATTAATATTTATTGATGGTTATGTGCCAGGACTGTTTTAAATGCTGGGTGCAAAGCAATGAACAAAATAGACAAAAATCCCAGCCCTTGTGGAGCTTACATTATAGTTGGGGAGAGAGAACACACAAAATAAGTAAGTAGCATGTAGCTTTCTTACTGTGGCTAAGGAAATTAAGTAGGGAGTGACAGCATCAGGGGGAAAGGGAGAGGAATGTGCCTTTAGACAGGGAAGTGAGGGAAGATCTCGCTGCAAAGGGGAAGAGCCAAAGAGATTTGAAGGACTAGAGGGAGGGGGAGCACATCTGGGGAAGGAACATTCCAGGCAGAAGGAACAGCAGTTACAAAGGTCATGTTACAGCAGGATCCTCCCTGGTGCCTTATGTATTGACAGAGGCCAGAGAATGAGGAGTAACAGCTGGTAAGAGGCCGTCAAGGACCAGAGGATAGGGTGGTCTTATATAGATTAAATTTTTCTCTGAGTGTGATGGGAAGTCTTAGGAAGTTTTGAAGGAACGAGTGACATCTAGTGGATGTGTGGTGAGAGTGACGTTAGCTGGTAGCAGAGCTGGTCCGTCCACCGCTGAAGAGGAAGGAGTATTGTATACCGGTACAGGTGCGAGTGGAAGAGGTGATGTGTAAGTGGAAACTGGTGGCAGATCTCTTCTGATTGCTTCTGTTTCCTCAGTAAAATAGGAAACAGAATCGTGAACTGAGTCAGAATTGAGGAAAACGTATTGAAGGTTTGAGAAGAGAGGAAAGGCATGAAGTTATTCAAGAAAGTGGCAGAGTGAATGGACTCTGTAAATACACTGTGAATGCCATGGCCCACTGGAGGCTAATGTTCATGCGTATAAAATAAAACTAGTCTTCATGGTTGTGTGATACTTTTCCAACCACGTTTAGCTATAAAGGTCCGTGTAGTGGGTGGGAAGTGAGACTTAACCAGACTTGTAGTTTAGCCCAGTGAATAACACAAATCAAGAAGGGCAAAGAATTTGGGGATATATGCAAAGGAGGGACTTTTAATAACCAACCCTGAACTTTAAGCACAATACAGAGGAGAGAGAGGACCTTAGGGGAATGTGTCCCATTAGGGAAATGGGTGGTGTGTCCCAGGGGGCTTCAAGGATTGGTTGAGGTGGGGTTCTTGGGGGAGTGAGCTGGAAAGATCACAGGTGGTGGTTAAGAATGATTTATTTGAAACTGAGATTCTGGAGGGGATGAAGTTAGTTTATGGGAAATAAAGTCTTGGGTATGTGCAATGGAATGAGCAGCTGGCAGAAACAAGAACAGGATCATTCAAGGAGAAGAATACAAGGAACCTGGAAGCCCAGGGTATTGGAGCGATTATCTGAAATCAGCAAGAAATACAGCAGCAGAGATGACAGAATGACCGTGAGCTGTAAGTTACACTCTTAAAGGAGGGAAAGGGAATGAGTGACTGGAGGCCCACAGATGCCTAAACGAGGAGAAGGAGTGAATGACACGGTTCACAGCTGGGCGTTTTAGGGAGGGGGAGCAGTGGGAGAGGCGAGGAGACACTACCCTCTGACATCCAGGAGACAAGGGCTCTGCAGAGGCAGCTGTGTCATCCAGGGAGAGCCAGGTTTCACTTCCAGTAACGGCTGAGGCTAGTGGAGATTTTACTGAGTTCCAGAGGGTCCAATAAGAGGCTCCCAGAAGTCAGGGGGAGGTTGGAGATGGTGTCCAAAAAGGCAGTGTGTGAAGCTCTCTGGAGACTGAGTCCAGGCTCCCTGTGGAGACTGACCTCATGGTCCCAAGGCAGTTGTGGTGATGAGGTGAGGTATGTGGGGTAAAGAGGCCTGCCAGCACCCCATGCAGTTCTCGAGTCGTTTTTTTCTTTTTCTACTGTATTCAAGACCGGTTTTTCCCCTCTTAGTTAAGTTTCTATCCACTATATATTCCATATCTAAAGAAGATAGAATCTCTGTTCTAGATCACTGTCCCTAGTTGAGTGAGTAACCCCATGTATTAATGTGCTATGAGGCTGTAACTAAGTACCACAAACTGGGCGGCTTAAACAGCATAAATGTATCATCTCATAGTTCTGAAGGCTAGACATCTATAATCAAGACACTGGCAGGGTTGGTTCCTTCTGAGGGCTGAGAAGGAATCTGTCCAAAGCCTCGCTCCCAGCTTCTGGTGGTTTGCTGGCAATCTTTGGCCTGTAGACGCATCACCCCAGTCTCTGCCTTCATCTTCACAGGGCATTCCCCCTCTGTGCATGTCTGTGTCCAAATATCCTCTTTTCATAGGGACACTGGATTAGGATGCACCATAATAACCACATCTTAACCTGATTTTGTCAGAAAACACTGTATTTGCAAACAAGGTCACGTTCACAGGTACTGGGGGTTAGGACTTCAGCATCTTTAACGGGACACACACAGTTCAACCCACACGGCTGTTATTCTGTCAGTCAGTCCTCATCACTTGCTTTACACTGTGGCCATTTTCATTACTTCTAATCAGAAGGGGGAAAGGTAAGGATACTCATTCTATCTGCTTTTCTTCAGATTTAAGGGTAATAGAATTCTCAGGATGTATGTCATCTCACCAGTGTGGGGAAGGGACGAGAAGCGGAGCCTCCTGTGCTTGGTTCTAGCCACAACCTTCTGTTTCTTTCCTTCATCATCAGTTTTTAAATTTTGTATCAGGATGTTCCTTATTTGCATGTTTTTGGTGAACATTTCTTTCTTTTATTTAGTTTGATGTCAAGTGTTAGAGAAAGAAAGCTCTACTAGAGAGCACCGCACTGCCACCTGAAGCCTGAAGTACTCGTTCCCTGACACCCAAATCTAATCGGGATGTGTCTCAGCTTAAAACCTTTGGTGGCTCTCCCTGCTCCTTAGAAAATGAAACCCGAGCTCCTTCATATGCCTGAAAACCTTTCAGCCTCCTGCCTTAAACCACCACCCCACATACCTCAGCAAAACTGTACCGTTTCACATACTTGACACAGTAAAGTATTTAACAGCTCCTACCTTTAAAATTGCATTCACTTTGCTTAGAATGTACATTTCCTTCCCATCTTGATGAATTTTTCCTGTTTGCTGTTCAGCTTACATGTTGCCTGCTTCCCCATGGCCTCTGCAACAGAATGTGTTGTCATACTGCATTGAAATTTTAGCATCAGAAGCAACAGGTCATTTTGGAAATGCTGAGCTTTCTCTAAATTTAGTTATTTTGATTTGTTTTTACCATCAGCATACCAAAATAAATGGCCATATTTAGAGGTTCTTTGTATTTTTTAATTTATCTAACACATTTATAAATGAAGTTTTTTGTTTGTTTTCTGTTTTTTGATTTTTTTTTCCAATTGTAGGTCTTGCTCCTTTGGTCTATTTGTCAGATGAATGCCATAATTTATTGGCAATAAAGTTTTGGATAGATCTTAATGAAGACATTATTAAACCTCACATGTTAATTGCTGCAAGCAACCTCCAGTGGCGACCAGAGTACAAATCAGGAATTCCTACTTTATTTGCTGGAGATTTTTCCATGTTTTCTGCCAGTCCAAAGGAAGGCCATTTTCAAGAGACATTCCACAAAATGAAAAATACTATTGAGGTAAAATTAGCTTTGAGCATTACCGTGCATGTTGGTATTGTCCTATTTTGACAATCAGATGTCAAGGAAGTAGCAGTTTTTATGAAAATTGGATAGTTGAGTTATAAATGGAGGGTGAGATTTCACCATATGTTAATTGGTTATGAACCTTACGAGATGGTGGCTGACAGTTATCAGGAAGAAAAGAAAGATCTGAAAAGGAACTGCACGGGGTGGGGATGTAGCTCAGTGGCAGAGCGTATGCTTAGCATGCATGAGGTCCTAGGTTCAATCCCCAGTACCTCCATTTAAAAAAAAAAAAGAAAAGGAACTGAATTAGGGAAAAGTGTGAGAAGGATGTTCAGAGCCTTAGACTGTGCAGGCAAACTGGAAATTGGTGACAAGAATAATATGAGTTATCTGTGGTTCAGAGCACTTGGCAGTGTAGTTAGTTAATAATATGTAGACTGTAAATTTACATTTTAAACTCCGTATCTAGTATTTTATATGGTTTATACCTGTCCTAGATTTGAAATAATACCAAATAGGAGAACAAAGTTTATTGAGTGCTTATTGTATGTCTGGCTTTGTTCTCAGCCTGTCTCATTTAATTCCCCCATCAACCCTGCTGAAGTAAAGCACTGTTTTTGCATTTTATTGATGAGAAGCAGAAAAGTTAAATCACAGAGCCACGTTGGTAGAACCAGGATTCATATGTAAGCAATCTGAATGCAGAGCCCAAACTATGAGCTACTATGCAGGGCTGCCTCCCAATAAATCTACAAAAGATAAGCCTCTTAGTTCTGTAGTTTAATATTTGAAATATTATTTAAAATTCATATAAATTAAAATTATATTTTAAAAGCATTAGAGTAGCCAACTATATAAAGGAAATTTGTGTAATATTTTACCTAAAGACTCGCTTCACATCATGAATAACACCCTGGTTTATCTGGTTTCTAAACTGAGGGTTACATTCATAATTTGGCTCCCATGCAGAATACCTAGTACTATTTATTACCCTAGATTTTCTCAGACCATTCAAGGGCAGTTCAGAGATGACTGTCATTTACATATCATTTTAAAGTTTACTAACAAAATGGCTGGGGAGCTCTCTGACGCCGCTTTCCCTCCCTGATATGTGCACTCACACCCCCTCCCTCCTTCTCTCCTCCAGCAGTTAATTTCTCCTGAATCGCTGACTAGGTTTTGCATTTTTGCACTGGTATATTGTGTGACAGTTGCTGTCAACTTTGTGGTGTCTCATTCTTTTCTTCTGGTCCGAGTTTTTTCTGGTTTTAAAAACACTTTCTGAAAACATGAATGTGGGGGTTTGCATTTTACAAAACAGCTTTTCCAATTTATTTTCTTAGAATATTGATATATTTTGCAATGATGCAGAAAACAAACTTATTCACATACTTAATGCAAATAATCCCAAGTGGTCCACTCCGACTGAAGACTATACTTCAGAATCACACACTGCCCAAACAGTCCTTGCTACAGGAAGTAAGTTTCTGGTAAGTTAATGCAAATTTAAAGAATTTCATAAATATTATATACACAGGCAACAATATATTCTAGTGTATACATAGTAAACATTATGAAATGTTGATTAAACTTAATTAGAAAATGTGGTTAATTGTTAAGTGGCTCCTATAGGTGTAAGTTATCTGGAAATTATAACCTGTTTATTAAAGCCAGAATGTAACACTCTTTGGGGGAAAATTTTATTAACAGGAGCTTTCATTTGTGATTGAAAGACTTTTTTTTGCCTGTGTCTTTTTGCTAAGAGGACTGTTCTGTACACTTAGGGTTGTTTCTAAGCTCAGTTTGGTTTAATTCTTTAAATCACAATAAAAGGAAATCAAGCTAAAGTCTGCAATATTGGCTAAGGGCTAATTCCTAAGTAGCTAATACTTGCTAAATAAGAGTATGTATATTAACTCATTTAATCTTCACAACACCCCTATGAAATAAAAATTATCTCCATTTTACAGATGAGGAAACTATGACATACAGGGATTAAGCAATTGCCTACAATCCCAAAACTAGAAAAGTAGGATTAGAACCCAGGCAGTCAGTGTTCTTAAAATGGTTTTACAATGCTTAGCTTTGTTTAGCCTGTTAGTAACAAAAAGGAAAAGATTAAAGCGTAAGTTATATCCCCTACCTCCCTTTTTGTCTTACTGCTATTAGAGTTCATCTTTCTTTCTTTTCATGTCATTTTTATATCCTCTTTTGCAAAATTATTACCTTCTGGAATAAGAAGAAGAATATGAATGTCTCTTGAAATCATAGCCACTAGGGGAGTGAGATTGTGTGGTATTTGTGTGTTTAAATATTTTTTAATGAAAAGCTACTTTGATTTTTATATATTAGTACATAATTATATAGGCTATTTTTTAATTTGTTTATCAGATGTCTTCTCCCAGTGAAATGAAATATCAGAGTCCTTTATCACTTAGTAAGCCAAAAGGGAAATCTATCTCCACACCTGTATCAGCCCAAATGACTTCAAAGTCTTGTTGCAAAGGGGAGAAAGAGATTGATGACCCAAAAAGCTGCAAAAAGAGAAGAGCCTTGGATTTCTTAAGTAGACTGCCTGTACCTCCACCTGTTAGTCCCATTTGTACATTTGTTTCTCCAGCTGCACAAAAGGCATTTCAGCCACCACGGAGTTGTGGCACCAGATATGAAACACCTATAAAGAAAAAAGAATTGAATTCACCTCAGATGACTCTACTTAAAAAGTTTAATGACATTTCTCTTTTGGAAGATGATTCAATAGCTGATGAAGAACTTGCACTGATAAATACCCAAGCCCTTTTGTCCGGTTCATCAGGAGAAGATCAACGTATGTCTATCAATGAATCCACTAGGACTGCTCCCACTAGTGCAGAGGATTATCTCACACTGAAAAGGCATTACACTACACGTGGGATCAAAGAACGAGAGAATTCCCAAGCCAGGACTGAAGAACATGAGACTAATATGCAGGACACAAGTACAATAAAAAATATCTCCAAGAGGCTGCAAAGGCGACAGAAACCAAAATGACAGTAGTTATTAACAACCTTTCCAGTCTGTAAAGCATATCCAATTTCAAACTGTACACCAGTATCTGCATAATGATAAAAGAAAGCAAATAGTTCAAATTTTACCTCAGTGCTTGTATATCTCAGCAATGCTCTTTGCCTGCTTCTGTATTGGTGTACTCTTATTTCAGTTATATATCTTAAAACAGTGACGTATATTTAACTAATCAAGAAAAAATCTTTAAATCTTCTGATCACTCTAAGTATTATTTTACAAACATAGGAAACATACCTGTCTCTTTTAGATTGTATCCTTATAATTAAATGAAACTAGGTTTCTCGATACAGTTATTTTGACTCACATAATTCTTTTTAGTTTAGTTCCTATTTTAGGTTTTGTTTTTTTTTTTAAGGGGGGAACCCAATAGGAATTAATTTTCCTTAATGCATGTGTTGGTTCTACTACAGTTTTATGCTGATCAAAAAAGTCAGGATCAATAAGAGATTACAGTAGTGTTTCCTTCTGACCAATTCTTCATCCTTGAGTCAGCATGACAAGAAGAAAAAATAGAACCCTCAATGCACTTACTTTTTATGATTCCTGTGTTATCTGTGAAATTAAATTATTTCAATTAAAAGTTCAAATACTTTAAATCAGAAACAGATTTCACAGTGTTAATTTTTTTTAACAAAATGATCATCTGGACTACGACTTAAAATCTTTCTGTCAAATTGGCACTGATTCTACTTGATTTATTTTTAGCCCTATCACAGGATTCAGCAAGTAGTCCCCTTTAAACCTATAACAGTTCAATTTAAGATGATACTCTCTTAATTTGTTACTTTCTTACATTTAATAGAGAAAAGAGAGAAAGCAGTTCTAAGTAGGTACTCATAGCATGGAGAAGCTCTTAAATCAGGTCTTTTAATATGTCTTAAATTTATATACAGTATCATGTTATCAGATCTCATTCTAAACACATTTTAAAGCCAAGAATCGATCCTTTTAAAAAGCAATTTGTTTTCTTCCATAACTGTGACCCATGATTTTTCTCTGTTCTCAAAATCATTAACATAGTAGTCTACTCTACTGTTCTTTCTAACTTAAGTGTTCTGCCAGTCTTATTAATGTGATTTAAGTTTTGTTCATATAATAATTTGGTCTTCACATCCTAATCATCTTCCCAGTGATCCACTCCAGAACAGGGAATAAAACTTCAAGTGTCAGGGAAACAAAGAATTATAAAAATTTAACCTTTTTTTTTTGATTCCTGGAAAAACTTGAGCTATAACCTCCTTCATTCTTCATTACCATTTAGACAACCCACTGCAGACACATCTAATGCACACACTGCTTTTTATAAATTAAAAACAATATAGCCAACTTGTATGAGAAAAATATGAAGCTTGAGTATATGTGAATATCATCCCCCCACATAGTAAATGACAATTTAATGATTACAAAGTCAACAATATACACTGCATGATAAGGGATAAATGGTAGAAGCAATCTGTGTAACTTACTCAACAATCACTTAATCAGAGTCTACTCTGTCTGTAAAGCACTATCCCAGTTCTAAGAGTGATGCAAATGGTAATACACAAAACAACACAAGTCAGTAAAGTCATACAAATCAGGAGCCATGGGAGTTGAGAGAAAAAATAGAACACGTCTAGGTGGGATAAATAAAGTTGGTGGCATTTAATCAATGATTCTTATGCTTCCAAACAAAGTATTTTAGGAGTCACATAGGGAAAAAAGGCAAATAAACAGGGAAGCTATTCTGAGCTCTTTAAAAGCTTTGCACTTGTAACCTGGGGCTACTTCTCCTTAGTGGCCCAGCCCAGTCCAGCCCAGGTGAACCAGAAGCCCTAAGCAGAGTCAGACCTAAGTCAGGAGGGCTTGAGTTCTGGTCCGTTAGGCTGCTCCCATGGGATCAAAGAAAAGGAGTTCCCACCTGGGTTCTTTGCCACTTCTTGGTCTACTATCCTAAATGAGTCAAGCCATCCAGATTGAGCTAGTTCTGCAATGACCACATTGACTAGGATACCCGGAGCTACCTGGGCCTGGAAAACAGGGCAGTTGTCATGTGGATCATCATTATTATTAGATTATTATGTGTTGTGCTTGGACATACAGAATTTAGCAAAACTATACCTTAAAATCATTCAGATTC